CGATGGTCCACAGCTGCACGTTTCTCTCGCCTCGACTCGTTCTTTGGCAAGGGTGAGCCCGACGAGCAGACAAAGCGCTACATCAACCTCATGATCAAGCTCTTCTCCCACGAACACATTGCATCCTCACCTGCTTCAACCTCCACATCATGCCTCCACATCATCCTCGACCTGCCCCTCTCGCTGGACAACCCTGGCAGGGACTACGCGGCTCAATGGACTGAGACTGAGGAGAACAAGGGCGACTACACGGGGAAGCACACGTGCGCGATGATGTGGTCCGAGCAGATCCTGAACACGTCACTGGAGGGCGTGGGCGTGGACGCGGACGTGGGAGAGTTGCCACCTCTGCAGCTTCTTCTCGCCAGGCACCAGGTGAGGACAACCTCATGACTTCTTTGTTCTTTGTCCCAGACTGATATTGCAGCACTGCGCAGGTATTAGAAGCGTCTCAGAATGAGCCGGCCAACATCAGCAACTCGCCTGTTGCATCTCCCGGTCAGTTATGTCCGGATCGTCCATTTGACCTTCCTGATCTCAAGGCTCAGCAGTCTTGCCCGAGCAGTCAGCTACACCTGCCAGTGAGCGCCTTCACAAACCTCTAGCCCTGCTGTCCATACTTAAGCCTGAAGCTTGAAGGCCTGGTGCTCGGCCCTTAGAAACATCAATCGAGCAGAGATGTGGTATGGATCAAGCGGAGACACTGCTGGACCTGTCTGGCTAGAAGGCAAAGGTGTGTGGCTGGGCTCCTGCGCCACCTGCGTCAAGTCCGCTCTCACCAGGTCAAAAGCAGGCACTAAATCTCCTTCAGAATGGTAGTCACGAGTAATGCTAAAGCAAGCCGTTTCCACGCTCCACTTCCTCCTCACGCGGAAGAAAATCAAAGCGCTGACTTGAGAACAATGCATTGCCCACAAGATGTCAGTTTTCGTCCATCATCAGCTCCTGTGTCCTCGTGTCCGAAGGTGCGTCCCACTCGTCGCGCCATTCCCCTAGCACTCATTGGGTCTACTCTACAAGTGAACAACACCCCTCACACGTCATTCTGCCTTGACCGGCCCTATATACCTCCACGCTGTGCTCTTCCCAGCTGCACACCCACCCGATAACGGCCAGCACCAACAATGATGGGTCGGGCCAGTTGCAGCACGAGTCTGGGTTGGCTGTGCCAAGATGCCGACCTGGGTAGGCGACGCTTGCGGGCTGCAGGCAATTTCTATTTCAACTTCGCAGCGGCCACCTCCACCGGCCCGCATGTCAGCTTTTGCCATCAGTATTCCCATTGATGGTTCGACGTCGCCCGGCTCAGGGCCTCTCCTGTACTGGGTTAAATTCAGCCCTACTGGCGGCAATGATAGCATCACTACAATTTGGCAATCCACTTTGCGAGCTCGCACCCACTAGCTACGGCGTCCCCCTCGCGCTCCAATTTGTTGAATGCCTGAAGCCAGTGCCCATCTCGTCAGCGATGCGCTGGAGGGTCCACTAAGGTGCTATTCCCACTTGCTCATCATCATCTCGTTCTAATCTTTCGACGGTATGTTACTTATTTCCAACAACTCAGCATGACACAAATAAGCATAATGTACGTGTAGATGATTCATTGATTGGACAACATGTACGTGCGGATCACGCTCAGGCTGACATGCCGCAGAGTCTCGTAGCATTGCGGAGAAGACCTTGGTGATCTTCATGTCCAAGTCGTCCGTCTGTAGTAATTTGACGGTCGTCGAGGACAATAACTGCCGTGTAGTATGTCATTTCTTTGTGCTCAAATATGTAAACTTATAAGGGTTTGCACAGTCAGACTGGCTCGTTAGTGGCAGCACCGGTAAGCCGAAGGCAATCGCGACGTCTGGGGCCCGGGACACCGTATCGCGTAGATCAACAATTTGACCCGGGATGTGAGCGTAGCTGCGCCTGCGCTTACTTGCGGCCCATGACTGGCGGCAAAGCTTCCATCAGGCCCCCCTCCCATGCGTATCGTGGCGACCGATTTTCCCGCTGACGACGGTGCACCACATGTCAGACCTGCGCCCATTGGTCATCCCATCAAGATTAGCCAGGTGCTCAAGCAGCCCATGCCGCCGGGCAGAGTCGCCAGGCTGATCATCGATGGTGAAGGCGACACCGAAGGATATCTCAGCTGCCCTGCGGAGACCGCGGACTCGTTCATCGAGTGCGCTGCAGTTTGACGGTTCGCCTGAAGACAACACATGGCGTTACTGAACAGTGAGCAGTGTCAGCTGTTACAGACTCGTTGCACGGG